CTTTCTTTCTTTCTTTAAAACAACAAACACACTTTGATGATTTTCTGATAAATCTACAACCTCCATCAGTCACTAATGCCATGGGTTGAAGTCTAAAAATAACCATGAATAATAAAATTGTTGATGCCAAAACATGTGAGGACCTTGCTTTGGTGTAATAATAAAATGGCCACCACTTACCAGCTGACCACAAAGCGCTGCGCGTTCCTTAGTTCATCCTCATTCTCTCCCGGAAAAGGGGCTCCTGTTGCCGTCCTCAGAGGAGGATGCTGAGCTGGACTCAAGGAAGCCATCTGCTTCTGCCTCCACCCCAGGCCTGTGACGGAAACACCGCTTATCTCTCTGGGCCTCAGTCTCCCTCTGCTGGAAACATGACCCCCAGTGACCTTTACAGTGGGGACCCTGAATGTTTACTGAATGTTTGGGGACTCTCAATCTGCTTTTTTTGTATTTAGTTCCAAATCCCAGTCACATATAAATAGCTTAGGAATAGTGTCACCATGATTAATACACTGCTAAGTGCTACACCTTTGTCATTTAATCCATTCAGTTTCACGTCATAGTAGATCCATTGTGAAGTTTTAAAAATAGTTAACACAATAGTTCTAAAACTCAGAAGGACTATCAACCAGCAGCCTGGTTTTATAGGCATTGATCTGTCTGACCTCTGGCATATGACTCGCAGTAGGGACAACACAGAGAAATCACTAATGTCACATTCTTGAGTCCCTTAAGAACTTGCATGTGATTGTGTCCCATTATCTGCAAAACACCTGTGAAGAGAGAATCATTATCATGACTACAATGCCCACTGTGCCGTGAGAACAGGCTCTCCAGGAGGAGGTGGCCTTCATCACGACCACTGTCCCCACTGTGCCGTGAGAACAGGCTCTCCAGGAGGAGGTGGCCTTCATCACGACCACTGTCCGCACTGTGCCATGAGAACAGGCTCTCCAGGAGGAGGTGGCCTTCATCATGACCACTGTCCCCACTGTGCCATGAGAACAGGCTCTCCAGGAGGAGGTGGCCTTCATCACGACCACTGTCCCCACTGTGCCGTGAGAACAGGCCCTCCAGGAGGAGGTGGCCTTCATCACGACAACTGTCCCCACTGTGCTGTGATAATAGGCCCTCCAGGAGGTGGTTGCCGAGACCACAGAGGTCTTTTGCAGCAGAAGTAGAACTCAGTCCAGCCACTTTGGTTGCATCTTTCCATGCACCGACTCTGCATGGCGTCCCCTGGTGCTGAGTTTCTGATCCCACCATTCTTTGCCACAAATTTTTTAAATAGTAGTAATATTGGTGGTAGTTTCACCTAGAACGTTTTATCTTGGAGCCAACATTGTGGCTGATCAGGGGCTGGGGTCCTCCATTAGGCCTGGATGTGTCTCCTGGATCTACCAGTGTTAAATAGGGGACCCCATGTTCCAGTTTTCCTGGGACAGTCTTGGCTGTCTCAGCAAGTGCTGGCTCACCCCTGATACTTGTGGGCCCCAGGTGGCAGTTAGAATGGAAAATGGTCCATGGGCCCCTCCACCATGTTTCTTGCTACCAAGGGGCCACATGGTCACGTTGTGGATGCCGCAGCTGCATGTTCACACTGAGTCCCCAGCTGCTCCTCGGATCCTTTGGGCCTGGATGGTGCACGTCTGTGGCTTTGTCTGCCCTTTGGCAGATCCACCCGCGGGCACACGCAGGCTCTGGAAGAGGCTCAGGGTTTGGGGGCCGGGAATCTGGGGTGCCACAGGGCCTTGCAGCATGATCTAGAGGCAGAGGTTGCGGCTCTGAGTGGGCAGAATGCTTTCGACCCCTCCTCCCAGGAGGAAATCCCACCTGAGGAGGAGCACAGAGGGTTCTTCTAAATCCCAAAGTAGGCAGGACAGTTGCCCTGGACTTGGGGAGGTACTCATGAAGAGGGCGTCCTGGTCTGCACTGTCATCTGGGTAGTCATCTGCTCTCTGAGCTGTGGGCTTTCCCTCATCTGTAAAGTGGGAAGAACAGTGCTGTTCCCACGGCCCCCAGCTGTGCTGCTCCCATATTCCCGCTGGCCCGCCTGAGCAGCACCTCCTGCTCCTGTGAAGGCCCAGGGGGCCCTGTGACTTGCTCTCACCAACGAAGGTGAGCATGGGCGATGTGGGGATGTACTCCTGGGCCCCCACACCACAGCCATTGTGGACAATAGCCCAGAACCACAGCAGACTCTGCAAAAGCAAAAATGAACCCACTGTGGCTTTAAACCACTGAGATGACGGGGCTGTTTGTCACTGCAGCACAACCCAGCTCATCCCCTTTCCTACAAGCACCAGCTTTGCGGTGTCGTTGTGAGGTTACATGGGAGATGGCTGTAAGTCCTCGGCATCATGCCCGGCACACAGCTGTTAGTATCTATGTGGATGACAGGAGATGCTTATGTGCTTCCACGGCACGAACACCTTGAGTGGAAAGTGACCAGTGCTCACGTCCCCCTCTCCTGTGCCTCAGCCGAGCCTGGACTCTGCTCTACCTTCCACGGGAAGACTACAGAGGTACTCGAAGCCCCGGGATGTTGGGATCCCAGCCTTGGACCCCGCAACCGACCAGAGCTGGGAGTGCAGGTGGAGTCCTGGGGACAGCTCCAAGTTCATGTAAATCTCATGAATGCAAGAGCTGATGACACAGTTGTCCCACGGCTCACATTTTTAACCCTTCATTGTGAGCCAGAGAGCGAGCTTTACGGCACTGGGGGTTCTTGGTGCGGAAGTCTAGCACTATACTCGTTCTGAGAGCACCAAATCTCAGACGCGTGGACTTGGAGGGAACCGGATTTTGTTATAAAGGTGGCAAAAGAAATCCAGAAAAACTTAAAAACAGTCCAGCCAGCCATTCACCACGTCAGTCTGAGAGGTGTTCTCGCTGAGCTGCTAACAAGTAGCCGTGTAGACGGTTTGCTGGGCACTTCTGAGCAGACACGATCCGCCTTTGTAACAAGCAGCGACTACGATCACCCGAGCGGGTGAAGACAACCTCCAGGTGTTGCTGGCTTTCTAACTACGCTTTTGTTACACTCGAATTCATTTGAAAACCTACAGTAAGAGACAAGAGGTACAACATGTGTGTTCGTGTTTTGCTTGGACAGATTTTGGCTCCTAGCAATTAATGCTTTCAGTCACATTAAGCATATAAATAATGCTTTGTGACATTACAGTATTTCCCATTACAGATCAATTTTGTAGCATTTATTCATAATCAGACTTGAAATGTTACCTAGAAACAAAATATGTTTTCCCTGAAACAGTCAGACCCTATTAGGAACCTAAGCCTTTTCACATCACCATGCTAACAGTTACGGCCCCAAGCTGAGGTTTTCTTTCCTTAAATAGTGTTAAATTCAGCCCCAGAAGCACTAGTCTCTTTGAGGGTTCTCTTCTTATGTGCAATGACTTGAAAAACTTAGGGCTCAGAATACATTTAACATCTTACTATGTGCAACTCAATAAATCAACCAGTGTTCTTTTGGGGGAAAAATAATGTTAGCACCTTTTAAAAGTGTTATGTGTATAATTAGGTTACATGATGCGATTTTCTCACTTTTAAAGGACGGGTTTTCATTGCTTAAAAATAGGTGTCAGCCTATTTCTAGGTAAGAAGAGTTCTTCTCATTCCCTAACCACGTAACCCCATGCCATGCATGAGCAAAGAAATAAAGGAACACGTCAGGTTCAAGATCTGGGGCAGCAGAACGTTGTGCTAAACAGCCAAGACGGAAGCCAGGGACACCTGGAACCGAGTTCTGGCCCCGCCGTCTAACCACTGTGGAATCTTCGCCAGATCCCTGACTTCTCATTCAGCAAAGGTTAGCTATTTTACAGGATTCTTTCTTCGTAAGGAATTTTCTCTTTGATTAAAGCTAAGAAGCTCTCGTCCACTCAGCAGATGATCGCACAGTCTTATCGTAGGAGAGGCTCTGCTGCTGTCGGTCCTGGGAAACAGCAAAGGCAGACCAGACTGCTGCTCCCACAGAGCTTATATTCTGGCTAGGGGAGGAGTCCCAACAGACAAACAAGATGACGTCAAACGGTGCAGTTGGTTGCTGCTCCCCAAGATATGTCTACCTCCTAACCTCTGAAACTTACGAATGTGACCTTACTTGGAAAAATGATCTTCACAGATGTAATTAAGGATCTCGAGATGAGAGTCTCCTGGATCATCCAGGTGGCCCCAAGCATCCTTATGAGACACACAGAGAGGAAGAAGAGGCCGTAAGATGGCAGCAGAGACTGGAGGGATGCAGACACAGTCAAGGAAGGCTTGGAGCCACCAGAAGCTGGAGAAGCAAAGGAAGGATCCTCCCCAGCAGTCTCCCGAGGGAGCACGGCCCTGATGACACCTGGATTTCAAGCTCTGGCCTCTAGAACTGAGAGTAGTTTCTGCTTTGAGCCACTTACTTTGTGGTGATCTGAATGTCAGCCCTAGGGAACCAATACAAATGGTAATCCGTACCAAGAAGAAAACAAAGAGGGGTAGGGGCTCAAATGGAGGCTCCTGTAAGGGGTGGGGTCTGGAAGGCTGCACTGAGGGGCTCTAGCCAAGTTACCCGAGGATGTGGAAGACGGGTGTTCTGAATCTGAGGGGACATTATGTGTAGAGGGTCCAATCTACGAATGAAGGTGGTGTGTTCAAGGACCAGAAAGAGTCAGTGAGGCTGCGACGTGGGAGGTGATGAAGCAGAAGGCACCAGGGCCTCAGGGCCTCGCAGGCCTGGGTATTTCTGGATTTTCTTCCAAAGGAAATCTATCTCAGAAAGATCTTACAGTTAGAATGACCTGCAGGTCCCCTAACTAGCATCTAGAAGGAAGGAAGTATATTTATTAAATATGTAAATACAAGGACATTCTGAACATTCTAATAATTGGATTTTGAAAGCCCAGAACCTCTGTAATCTTACCTGTGTAATCCCACGCACTATTTACTGCCATGTGAATGATAATGCCGCAGCACAGGTGAAGTTGCACAGCACAGGACACAGTGGGAAATCCGCAGCGGGATCCTTTATTTCCTTCACTTTCTACTTATAAGGTGGAATTTCAACCTGTAAAAGCATTCTTCCAGTCCAGCCAATGGCTTGGAACATCGCTCTGTCCTGATTCCATGTGTGCGCAGGCCCCGGGCAGGTCTGAGCAGTGGGGTCACCAGGGTGCATGCAAGGGGCTGTGGCACTCCACGAGGCCGGCTTCCCTGGGTCCCACTCCCTCGTTCCAAACAGTGATCAGCAAGGAACAGATTGTATTTCTACTCACTTTTTCAAAGTGAATCACTTGCATGTCAAGAAAATTTTCTCAAGTGTAATAGTGTTTACCATTTTCCTATAGTTCTTCAAATGCCTGACACTCATCTTTGCCCTACTTCTAAAATTCCTTTGTTTTTCACATTATCTTTCTTGATTGCTTCTTATTGTAAAAACAAAAAAAAAATAAAGATGTGGATCTGTTGTGCACATTAGCAGGTCCATACAGAAAAATGCACAGAGGTTTTATATACCATTTACACTAACAGCTCAGAGTACAAAGTCAAGAAAGAAGAATCTGAAGTAATAGACTTGCTCTGAAATAAGGCTACTAGGATGACACCACTGCAGCTCGATCAGAATTTCCCCTCACCAACTACTCTACAGTGGCAGACGTAAAAAGTCTGCAGTTAAAACAGTCACTCCATATGCTGCCCCCCAACGTCTGAATAACAGTGCTTTTCCACTTTTGTTCCTCTTCAGTTTAAATTTAATGGAAAAAACTAAAAAATCATGTTTTAGCAATGTATCCCCATAGAGCCCTGCAATTTACCAAGATTTTCATGTGTTTTGAGAGAAATCTTACTGAAACAATAGAGATGACTATTTTCCAGTAAAGATTGAGTGAGAAACAATCTTAACCCCAATCTGAGGTGATAAACTCGTTTTGGGGGACACAGGTGCTGAAATGTGAGAACTGCTGCCACCTCGCGAGGGAGCGCGGGAAGCCGTGACAGTCCGCCCCGCGGCAGCGGCGGCATCAGAGCTCGTCGTGGTTCTTGGTGAGGTCCTCCCCATAGTTGGTGGCTTGGCTTCCGACAAACATGTTCCAGTTCTCGAGTATCTCCTCTTTAGTCAGCTTCTCATCCTGCAGGAGAGGAAAGGGCTGTCACGGAGGCTCCGGCACCTAGCGACGGTTCAGCACGAAGCTCACGGCCATGGTTTGCAACACTGAAAATCCTCCACTTAATAATTAAGAAGCTGCTGGATCCCTCCTGCATCTACCATTACTGCCCTGCCAAACCCCAGCCTGGAGCAGCCTTCTGCTACAAGCATTGTGCTAAAATGTATCGGTCAGTCCCCAAGGAATGCAGAAGCTGGACTCCAGTGATGTCTACAGGCGGTGCTGCCATTCCCAAAATGGGCCTCAAAGAATGCCACTCCCCTTTTATGGCCTGACTGCAAAACTTGACTGTCTTCCAAGAATTTGGAGCAGTGATCAAAACGGGAAGAGGCAGGACTTCTTTCTAAATCTCGTTAATCTGTTCATTTGGATATTTATCAATAGCTGTTGAAGAGCTGGGCGTCAGATCCAGCAGTGTGAGCTCCCCTGAGGGGGCCTGTGTTTAACGGGCTGGGCTTCCTTCTGCCTGACCCCTCACGGATGTTTGGTAAATATCTGCTGACTGAAGGAATGGAGGGATACGCTCATCCTAGGGCAACACAGGGTGTATTTCTTACACCCAGGCCCTGCCCACAGCAAACAAAGTCACGGGTTCTGCAATCCTGGGAGATGGGAGTGGATGTAAGTGTGTGGCCCACAGCAGACTTCCCACAGGCCCGGGAAAGTCTGGGCCTAATGAGCTCGCCGTGGGTCATCACCGCACTGGCTCAAGTGTAAGGTCTCTAACGCAGGGCAGGAACAAGAGAAGTCACAAGGACACACGTGGCCGCCCTGCCAGTGCTATCCCCAAAGACGCAAACAGACCGGATCTCATGGAGAACATCTCCCTTCAAGGAACGATTCCAGAAGAGCGTGCAATACCTTGTTCTTATCTGACTCGTACACCAGGTGCCTGGCCTCGGCCTGCGCGTGGTCATAGTCCTGGGGGAGGATCCAGTGGCGAATCTCATCTTTGTCCAACTTCCCGTCCTTGTTCAGATCCCGGAATTCAGTGAACTGCTCCCGTTCTGACAAAACCCAGTCTGGCTCAGGGCCATTCTCCTCGTGGGAAAACATATCCGCTGGAAGGGAAGGCGGTTCTCGGTTATGGAGACAAGTGGGAAGGTGATGGTCAGAGAAACTCGGCCTCTGGAGTTTGGGGAGGGGGAGGACCAATCAAGAGACCCAACCCAAACATCTGGTGGGCGGTTCCTGGGGACGGCCATGCAGTGACCGGTCCACTGCGAAGGCCGCTCTGAGGAGCAGAAAGAGCTGAGCTCAGGAGCCAGAAGATGAATCCTGGCCGTGGAGCTCGTTCGTTGCCTGGGACTAAGTTACTTAGCTCAGTGTGACTGAGTCTTGAGTTGCCTTGTCTGTAAATGGAGGTGATTCATAAACCACGGGGTTATTATGAAGGTCAAATGGGGCGCTGTCTGTGAAAGCCTTACACAACCCGAGCTGGCACCATGTGGTGAAAGCCAGTATCAGCACCAGCACCTTCTACCTTCGAGGGTCCAGATGCGCCCCAAGTACTCCACATGCATCTGTTCCCGTGGTTCTCCTAACAGTCCTCCGAAGCAGGTGTTATTAGAACCCCACCTTACAGATGAAAACACGGAGGCAGAGCCCCACCCAGGGCCCAGGGTGAGCGTGGGCTCGAGCTGCATAGGAATCTGCCCCCACCCACGGCTGATACCTCCGTGTATTACAACTGTTGTTTAGATCATTTCCAAAGGGCTCTCCCACATTTCATTTTATTCCACCCTTACAATTCTACACGATCATTGTCCTTGTTTTGCTAAATGGCAGGGAGAGGAAAGAAGGCAGGGTGTGCGCACTGTTGGCCGAGTCAACCCATCTTCTCGGAAAAGGGAGAGACCCTGTGGGCAGCTTCTCTCTAAGGGAAGTACAGCTTGGAAACGTCAGGTGGTGCAGGGGCAGGCGGCAAACGTAGGTAAAGGAGAGCAAGACCCTTGATTCAGCGGCAGGATGGACCCACACCTGATGTCAGCACTGTAAGAAATGGCCGTCACACTGGCACACTGGTCAACCTGAGCTTCATGCAGCCCTGCAAGCATGGGCGCTGGTACCCCTCTTTACAGATGAGGAAACCAGGGCTTATCATGGTCATATGGCTCCCAGGGCCACATGGCCAGTAGGTGGAGAAGCCCGGACTCCCGACTCCAGTGCTCTTCCAACTGTGCCACACCACCACTGCTCTTCCTCTCGTCCCTGCCTGAAGAGAAGGCTCCCCGTAAATGAAGTCACTTCTTGGACAGTCCATACCTCGGGCCTCTCTGACTGCAAGTCGCTCAGAGTTCTCTTCTCAAGCACGACGCCCCCACCTCCCACTCCGCCCAGGGTGAGGAATGGAATGCTTCTTTCAGGCAAAGCCACCCCAAGAGTTGGCCCCGACTGCACATTTCAAGGCAGAAGTCAGGAGGGCCAGGAGGAGCATGCACATCTCCTCAAAAGCACCCACTGCCTGTCTGATCCGTCGGCCTTCTCTGTCCGTCTGATTCTACCTGCATAGTCAAGGGCAGACGTCCATGGCTCTGCGGCTTCCCTCCCGCAGCAGGCAAGAGGAGGGCCTGCTGCCTGTGCTGGGGAGGGGCTGCCAGTGTCTTTATTCTACAGGGACCCCTTAATTACTGTTCCCACAGATGAACGGAGAACAGCACTCGGCCCTACAGAGAAAATACAATTTCTAACGACTGGAGAAACTCTGCTCTTCATAACTGAAGGCACTTGTTCTTGTGTGTGGGTGGCAAAGAAACACAGTCACAGACAGAGACTGATGGCCACGTGGGCGCTGGTTCTACGTGGAAAGGAAATTAACTGCCCATATTAAATACGTGTACAAAAATCATGTGTATCCCACCCTCAAATGATTTTCCAGCTTACGTCATTGAGGCTTGGGAAGAGGTGTCGTGAGCAGGCAGCCTGCAGTTGGAGCTGTGTGCCAAAGCCCCAAAGGGGCAGCCCTGAGGGTCAAATGGAAATTTCCATGTTGCCTGCTCCGGGCCTTTGCGCTCCGAGGGCTACCGGCTGCAGGGCAGGCTGGAACCAGCAGCCCAGGTGCATTAAGCTGAGCCGTCATTCAGCCGGTGCTCAGGACCTGCAAACACTCCTCTTGCTGTTAGGTGGAGCCCCACAGAACAAACTGCCAGGTATGGGACTCCCAGAGAGAGGATCAAAACCAGAGGCACGAGATGCACATCACAGGCTTCACCTCTTCAGGAGGGAAGGCCTTTCTGCGCATATAAACAGTACCGCGGACCACGGCTGCGTCCTCAGAGCCACCAGGCCCTGCTGACCCACGGCCAGGCTTTAGTCTTTCCCAGGAGTGCCTGCTCCAGCCTCACTGTGTATCTGTGGGGTCCCCAATCCCGTTGTGCAAAGGTGAAACGAGACAGCGTGATGGGGGCACCCAGCAGAGCCAGGGCCGAGGGCTGGACACCCTCTTCTTCCTCCACTGAACGAGGCCTAACAACACCCCCCCGGACACGGCACCGCTAGGGTGTTGGGACAAGCCCCTCCCCCCAGGTCACGGAGTGACACCTGCACACTTGCAGCTGTTGCTAAGAGAGAAGTCTGGGGAGAGCAGTCAGACACGCGGGTGGAGGAGTGTGGCCCAGTCGGGACAGCTGAGCAAGGCTCGGGCTGCGCTCACCAATGTACTCGTCCTGATCCACAAACCCGTCCCCGTTCTTGTCGATGTCCTCCAGAGTTTCCTGGGGAGCAAAGGAGAAAAGAGAATCCAGGATGGCTCTATGCTCTACATACATCTGAGACGCAGCCGCTGCCCCCTTTGGCTTTTATGGCTGAAGGCCCCGCTGACTCCTGGCTCCTCTCCTTTCCTCCCTGGGCATTTGTGTCTTATCTGTAAACAACAGGCAGTAGCCAGCCCTCCTCCCCGACCCCACAATTTTATGCGAAGAACACTCTCTTCAAATGAAAATATACCTTAAGTCCAGAGGCTCTGATTCTGCCTGGAAGCCCTGACAGGCCACCACCTCCACCATCCCCCCAAACCACCCCCTGGGTACCGTGAGGAACCCAGCCTGAGAACCAGTAGACTAGAGGTAATCACAAACATGGATTCCAGAGCCAACTGGACTACGAACACTGAGCTGGTATCAGAAAAATATGAAAAAGTCAGCAATTAAAGTAAATAAAAGTATATCTGACTTTTGAACATATTATGTTCTGTATTTAGTACACCTGACTTCTTAATCAGGTTTTTCGCTTGCGTGAATAATTAAATGAGTTTACTGTCCATTGTTGCAGTGACTCAAAGGCATCCTGGGTTGAAGAAAATAGCCACCCCGAGAGCCAAGAGCCAGTCCAGAGGCACGCAATCCTCTTGTGGATAATTCCCCATCTTCATCATCCTCTGCAAATTAGCTAGCACTAAATGCATGTTGGGTGGTAAAGAGAAATGATTCTTAGAGCCACTGCCCAATCCTTAGGGTCATGGGGGTCATGAGGCCGAAGCATGAGACAAGAGTGGACCCATCCACCAACTGGACAACTGGATAAATAGTCCAGGCTGATTATAAACAAAGGTTCGGCCACTTGTCTCCCAGCATGGAAGCAGCTGGAACTGGCTTGGGATATCTCCCCGGAAATAGATGATGGCATTTATTTTATTGTTGTGGAAAATGAAGACATTCGGGATCTACGAGACCCTGTGGAAAGCAAGCTCACTCAGAGGCCTCAGGAGCACAGACATCCCGTAAAGCCCAGGGTCTGAGCCATCACCCTGCGAACACCCAGCCCTAAGGGGTGTGTCCTTCCCAGCCAAGGTTTTCCTTCAAGTATCCATGTGGCTCAACAACCCAGCGCATTCCACTTCAGTCTTTTTCTAGTTCCCTCAAAGCTGAAAAATGGGATAGAGACTAGCCAGTGGCCCACTGAGCCCATCCGCTCTTTCGGGGCTCACACCTCAACTGTACTTCCTGCCTCATCAGTTCAGGGGGAGCCCATGGAATGTCAAAGGAAGGGACGGTGCATTCCTGGCCAGGACAGGAAAGGGAGATGGTGCCTTCTCCTCACGCCCCTCTCCTTTCCTTTGTCTACCAGCTGGTTGTGCTAGGATGATCTTGAACCCACAGGACAGCAGAGTACAAAATGGAGTGACCTGAGGGGGCTGCCAGCACTGGAAAACCACCTGGAGAATTCACCTGATGGGGCCATCTTCACCGGCCTTGGTCTAGGCAAGAAATAAGCTCTGGTTGCATTAAATGGCTAGGATGGGGCTCTTTGTCACAGCAGCTGGCCTGCCCTGACTAGTTTACCAGGTCGACAGGTGTTCCAATACATTCCATGCCAGGGCCCTTCTCCAAGTCCCCTCAGGCTGAGGAACGTTCTCTCTCTGGAAGAAGGGACAAGACTGACATAGCTTTCGTCTCAGTCTTTTCAAGGCCAGGCTCTCCGTCTTACCAGAACCACAATTTCCTTCATGTGCTCAAACTCCTCAGGGTGCAGGAAGGCCGTGAACTCCTCCCGCGTGGCCGTCTGGTCACCGTCGCGGTCTGCAGCCTTGAACCTCCTCTCGTCGCGTGGCAGCATCTTTTTAAAGGTGTGATGGTCTGAACTATCCTGAAACTCTGCCGGGTTTCCTGCAGGGTATGTGCAGAAACGTTCAGACAGGGCTGCTAAGGAAGAGCTTTCCCTCCAGATCACTCATCCTTCACGTCCAAACGGTACACGAGCGACAACGGTCCTGACCCATCATGTTCTAGGAAACATTTTATTGCAGACAGCCTCTGGCGTCTGTCCCTTCACCCCACAGTCCAGACCCTAATGGCTCATCAGGGCACTGCTGCAGGTGGTTGAGAGCACAGGCCGAGACCATCCCAAGGTCATACTTCTCTTTGCAGAACCTGCTTTCACCTGTCACTCTTGGGTCCAGAACACGCAGAGGCTCCCCAGTACCCACGACATTTTCTCTCAATGTTGCTGCCTGGCTTTCAAGATCTCCCTTCATCTGGCTCTGAAAGTGTGCAACCTCAGCTCTCTGCAGACCTGTCTCCTTGCTGGCTCCGCCATGTGCCCAGTGGGTCTGCACCCTGGGCTCTGCACACACCCCTCCATGATGGCCCCAAACGAGCACGTCTTACATCCAAACTCTGCCCACTGCCAGATGCACTGCTGCCTCTCTGCCCTCCGGCTGACCCTCTGCCCCACCTGTCTCTCTCTCTCCAAATACATATCCATTTTTCAGGGCCCAGCTTCCAAACCACCCTCTACCAGGAAGCCTTCCTTGACTGCTCCTGCCCACTCAGTCCTTGCTACCTGAAACTTGACAGCATTTAGAAACCGTACCACAGACATGCTTCCCCTCTGCTTTGTTCTCTTGCGTGCCTCTGAGATGGTGAGCTCAGGCTGGGCAGCAACCCAAGTCATTTCCATTAGACCCTCGACTCGTGCACTACTCACCACCTATGGCTTCACTCAGCATAAGTAGAGCAGGATGTCACAAGGGCAGGGTCTACCCTTTGGGTTCTGCATCTTTGGGGAGATGCTGTGACATCTCCCTGGGGGGGGTGGATATGACAAGAGGGCAGAGTCTCCTGCGAGAAGCTCATCATGCGCCCCACCGTGCCACAGCTCCCACAGCCCCTCTTACCCAGGTAGTAGCCGTAGGTGGCTTGTTTGTACTCTTCCCAGGAAATTTTATCGTCTTTGTCCCGATCATAATCCTTCCAGACTTTGGCGACATTATCATAGATGTATCTTTTTTGTACCCGTTTGATCCAGGTTTTCAGCTCTTCAGTGGTGACAAAGCCGTCCCCATCATTGTCGATTCGATCAACAATCTTCCTGTAGTAAAAAAACCCACAAGACTATTATTAAGGCTTGTGTGATCCTGATCCAGAAAAAGATCAAACACTTGCAGAATCAAAAATGCATTAACAATTGAAATAAAATCACTGATCCGATGGTGCCGGAAAGGATCTTAACATTTATCTTTTCCAAGGATGGTATGCCTTCCCCGCCAGGGCGAATGGCAGGCACGACTAGTGGAGCATTCCCCTCCGTCCTGATAAACCCAGACGTGGCCTTGGGATTGTTTTCAACACTGGGCTCTGCGGGTGGACCCTACCAACTGATTAGGGCTGACGTGTACAACGAATGCTGGCAGTCTCCCCTGATGTGGTCCAACTCCCTCATTCTAGAGTAATGCAAACGGAGGCCAAGAGAAACCGGGTGACTTTTCCAAGACCACACAGCTGGTGTTTGGTACAACTGGAGCAAGAACCCATGTCCTCTGGCTCTGGGTCCGAGGCAAAAAATGGGAAATTCTATGTAAACCGAAAGACAAGTAAGTTCTTTGTTTGTTTTTTTTTAAAAAAAAAAAGCTCATCACCTTGGACTCCAAGACTTGAAACGGGAGGGGACTAGATCTTGTTGGACAACACATAAAATGTTGGGGATGCAAAAGCCTCGACTGCACAGGGCCTCTGCAAGATGAGCTGGGCAGCACAGGCCTGGCTCGCACAGGGACGATTCCTGTGTCCACTGCTGTCTGCTGCTCTGCTGGCCCAGGTCCCAGCGATTTCCCACTGGACCCCACTGAGGTGCCCCAAGGCCTGGTCCAGAGCAAACCTCAGGGTGGGTCCATCTCTAGGCAGAGGGTCCCAAGCTAGGGACGCCATCCCTGTAGGGAACTTCGAAAACACCCACCAGCTATTCCAGTGTTTAAGAAGTTTTAGCCGGTAGTCCATTTACCTGGGATGAGGACATACTGGCTAGTTAGGGACTTGTTTCTTCACTTTGGGCTGGAATGGTATCAACTCAGTGGTAAAACTTTCAGAAGTTCTAATTGGAAGTTACTCTTTGATTAATTAGAAATGGGAAATGAATTCATTAGTACTTATGTCTCTATCTCCCTCCTGAACCTGCACAGCCCAAACTCCTCTTTCCCTGGCAAGTGTGGACATTACTAAGAGCTTTAATGTGTCCCTTCATTTGTAATTTTAAGAGATCTCTAGACTGAAAGACTGAACCTCAAGCATCTTCAGGCTTCATTTCAGGAAATCACAGCCAGACACAGCAGAATTCTTTCAACACCGCGTAGTGTTCAGCCTACCTACTACGTGCCAAGCACTGCTCCAGTCCTGGGGACACAGCGGTGACACGCCCATTGGTTCTCCAAAGCCAGTCAAGCAACAGAATCTCAAACCAGCAGAGACCTAAGGACGCCAGGTGGTGTACAACCTTCTTTTGTGGAAAGGATAGCATCTAATCCATCCAAACAGACACCCGGGACATAGCTCAGCTCGACACACAGTAACTTAACAAAGAGTTGTCAGAAGAATAAATAAGATCGTACCCTCTTCGAAACTCTCAGAAGTAAGCTACTGGGAAAGGCAGCCAAGAGGTGGATGAAGCGAACACTGTCCTTGGAACCCCTGGATCTGTCCTCAGCCCGCTGAGGCTCGGTTTCCCTGACTGTGAACTCGAGCCCCTACTCTACCAGGCATGTTGCGAGGAACCAAGGGGAGAAGGGGCCTTGCCTCCCTCGGGACGACAACCCAGATCACAGGGGGATGGAGCACTCAACAAACAGCTGGAAAGGACAGAAGTGACAAAGCCTCCAGCAGAGCCGGGCAACGGGACGTCCCTGCCTGCCACCCCTGGGGCTGCCAACTCGCTTGCCAAGGACTGCCCCGGGGGGCAATGGTCCTCAGGGGTCAAGGGAAACAAGAACGTGGTCTGTACTGAAACCACTCAGATTTTAAACGTTGGCAAGTAACGTACACTTTTTCTAAGACCGAGTGGCACGTGTGTGACTATGTGTGGCCTAGGGTCCCCACTCTGCAGCCCTCTGGCAGAGGTGTCTTCAGGGGCCTGGAAGCCATCACGTTTTCAGGACCTGTGGTCAGGCGGTGGTGACAGGGTTGCCCGGATACGGCCATGCTCCTCCCTCAGCAGCCCTGATTTGGAGGGGCTGTTGCACCAGAAGCTGTGGATAGAGGCGGCTTCTCATGCCCCATCCCACATTGCACCCATCACCTCCAGCCCTCTGCCCCCACCCCAGACTCTAGCCCCACTTACCTGACGGGTGAGCGGTGTGTCCACCACCCATTGGTGGCTCAGGCCAGAGACCCAGACGTCACCCTGACTCCTCCCCCCTCTCCCCACCCTCGCTGAGTCCCAAGCAAGCACTGCCACGTCTCTACCCTCCTCATGTCTGGCCTCACCCCTCCTGCCGTCGGACCGGCCGTGCCTGGTTCAGGCACTCATCGCCATGGGCGCCCGGTCTCCCTCTCGTGCCTCAGCTATGTCCTCCACCCCACTGCCAGTCAGACTTTCCCCACAAGCTTTTGCGGATGATGACATTTCAGCCACGTCAGGATAACATCTAATCTCCACTTCTCAGAGGTCCCTCCTGCTCTGCCCTTGGTATCCCCTCCACTCCCACCTCCTACTTCTTCCCAACACTGTCAGACACCCCTTTACTGTCCCAACACCCCCTGTGCCCAGGACAGGTTGCAAAACCCTTGTGAGCGGGCTGTTCTTGCCAGGACTGCCTTCCCTGCTTTACACCCGGCAACTCCAAGTCATCCCCAAGCCCTGATCAGATGACACCCCAAGCCTCCAGCCCCTCTTTCCCACCTGAAGCCTGGGGGGCTCCTTCTCCTGGATGTGCTCACTGCGGTCTCTACAGCTACCTTCACAGCAACTGTGCATAGTGTCTGCCTGTGTCTCTCTCCTCCACATTTGACTGTAAGTGCCCTGAGGCCCCGCACACCTGCTGGGTATCTAATGCCAGGCTGGCGCACAGCAGCCGTTCAAATGTTTGTCACATGAACACGTGAATGAAGTTAAGGTGTTTGTACAAGGATCAAAGCCAGGCCAAGTCCATCAGCACTTGCTGTCACCTCTAGGCTCACTGGTCACGACAAAGGCATGACCCTGGAATCTCTAGGACTGCAAATACAGACTTCCCTTCTGCAAACCCCAAAACCTCTCCTGCTTCTCCCAGGTGAGAATGCTGCAAAGCGCTGCCACTCAGGGTCCCAGAATAAACCAGCCTCCAAGGGCCTCAAAGCAATAGACAGACTGACCCCTCCATGGCCCCCACGGTCGAGTCCCAAACAGAAGAGAAAGTGCTTCTCTGCAAAATAAAAGGTGATTGTTTGGAGGTGACTTTGAAGTTCAAAGACCTTTTTATGAGAATGGCAGATGGTGCACCTGCACAATACGCGTAATTTAGCCTCCTACTCTGACCCACTACGTTGCCCGTGGCAGCCCATCACACAGGGATGGCTGCGCACTTTTTTATGTAGCTGGACACCCCGGGGCCTGGTGCCCAGCAGGCAGGGCTATGGGCCCCTCCCCAGCCCGCCTCCATGTGGGCCCCGCTGGCTCCATGGAAGGGTTTCCAGAGGCCTTTGCACAATGCCCCGAGTGCCTCCCAGGGCCGAGGAGAGGGTGCACTGAGGTGTACCAAAGTTTTCTTTCCCCGGTTTGGTTTCTGACTCAGCTGCCTTCCACAGTGACATTCACGATGCACCCCACGCCACCCGCCAGCTCTGCCCTCAGTTCCCTCAGTTGCCAGGGGGCTGGGCGCCTCTGCAGACACCCCTGGAGACAAGCGGTGACCAGTTTCCATTTCCACCCCCATCCCCTACCCCCGAATGCCCCTCCCTTCTCAACAACAGAAATGTTACATCCCTACTTCAGATTTACGGGGCGACTTGGCAGAAGGCAAGAACCCCAGCTGGGCCGGGGACCCAGGCCAGGAATCCAGCCTCTCCTTTGCCTTTCCTCTGGACTTTCATCCACTTAAGTTCATCCTAGAGACCTTAGCAGGGTCTCGGCCCTCCTGTCTGGGAATTCTGGGTGTGGGGAAGAGCTCATGTCGCCAGAAAGCCACCGTGGACAAATTCCTCTTTGTCCACTCCCCCTTCCTTCTGGGGCCAACGCAGGGAGGGCGCGCCCTCCGGTCCTGGCCGCCGCGGCCGCCACGTTCTCGCCTCCACGCGAGTCCGCGGGCCCCTGCGCCCCCCGCGCGGCCTCACCCCAGCCGGTCCTTGCTCTCCTCCGAGCTGAGCTGGTCGAAGGTCTTGGAGTCCTCCTTGCCCAGGAAGGCCTCGTGGTCGTACTGGAAGCTCCGGTTGTCCTCGGGCGGCCGCTCGCCCAGCTCCGAGTCGGGCCGCACCACGCGCTCCTTGCGCACCGTGGGCTTGGCCCGCAGCGCGCGCGGCCACAGCAGCAGCAGCAGCAGCAGCAGCGCCGGCAGGAGCGCGGGGCCAAGGCGCGCCATGGCCGGGCCGGGGCTCGGAGGAGGGGCCGCGGGGCCGGGGCTCGAGGAGGGGGCGCGGGGCAGCGGCTCGGGGCGCGGGCAGCAGCGGGGACGCCCGGGCCTGCACCGGGAGGGGAGGGCAGAGCGCGGGCGGCTCCGGGCGGGCGGCTCCGGGCGGGCGGCTCCGGGCGGGCGGCTCCGGGCGGGCGGCTCCGGGCGGGCGGCTCCGGGGCCCCTCACGCGCCCATTGGCCGCCGGCCGCGGGGGAGGCCGGCCGCGCAGCCACGTCGCCGGCCCGGGTGGGGGGCGCGCCTCGGGTTGGCGCGGCCCCTCCGCGCATCTCCGGAGGGCGGGCCGGGCGCGGGCTGGGACTGGAGGGCCCACGGGAACCGGGAAGTTCTTTGTCAAGCAACAGATGTGCGGGGTGAAGTCCCCTCCCTTCTCCCAGCTCCGCAGAACTGAAAGGACGGAGGCGCCGCCCCTCCCCGACTTCCAGCCGGGAGCCCGAGTCTCAGCCCCAGACCCGGCCCCAAGATGTGCCCCTAAACCAAATTCACCTCCACCTACCCAAACCGGGAGTCTGCTTACAAATGCAGGCGAGAGGAGGAGACCCGGGCGGGCGAGGTCGCCTGGAAACGAGGGTCGCAAACTCAAATGTCGAGGAGGGCGGAGCGAGCGACTTGAGCAGGACCAGGCACCAAGTGAGCGGTCGCGCACCCCAGCTGGCAGGCGTGCGGGCCCCAAGCTGGCAGATAGTCCCGTTTCCCAAAAAGAAAGCGGGATTTCCAATGTTTATGTTTTCATTTCCAAATGATGGCGACTCATTTTACAAAAGCACCGCATGACTCACACGAGTCTTGTCTGTACACTGATGCGGAGTATTGACGCTCGCATAAGGGGAGCTCGGTGGAACTCCGAGCCGTGATGGAATGTTCTGTCTCTGGGCTGTCCTACAGGTAGTGGCTGTTGAGTGCACAGGACGTGCAGCTAGTGTACCTGAGGCATTGAAAATTTAATGTAAATTTAAACTTGAATAGCCACATGTCGCATACGGGACAGGGCCGGTCTAGAGCAATCATTCTTTCTGTGTCACAGCCTTTTGAGACTCATTGAAAGCCATGGACCTTCTTCCAGAAAAATGCACAAGCAGCTACTGGCTTGCATGTTGGATTAAAGTGTCAGAGGAGTCGGAGTCTTCTGAAGCTGCACTGTGAGCCTCAGATTAAGAATTTCTGTAAAGCTAAGCTGTGGTTGAGGAGAGCAGCCCATCCCCAGGGCCCAGACAGCTGTGCTCCAGAGCTTTCCCTCTGTCCTGCTCCGTCCCCCATCCCTGACAGGGTAGGAAAGGTCACTGGATTGTGCTTCTTGCAGGATGTCAGGACATTGAAAGCAGCATAGATCCAAATACTTTTCTTATGAAGACTTTTTTCAGTCAATTAAGGAATAATTACTGTGTGCCCACTGTGGCCTAAGCACTGGACTGTGTGCTGAGGACACGGGGGAACAAGACAGCCATGGTCTCTTGGAGAGCTGTAGAGTATATGAGCAGATAGTCATTCATTCATTCACTCTTCAATATGCTGAGCACATGTAGATGTCAGGCCTGTGCTGGGCACTGGTTCACTGAGCAGCCACAGACTGCAGATCAGTGTGACTATCAGGGAGGAAGGCATTCAGCATTACGGAGACAGGACCAGACTTGGGGATGGATTTGGCAAGGCTTCCTGGAGGAAGGGGTGTCTAGATGAGACCGCAGGTGAGTCGGATAAGCAAGACAGCGGAGGTGTGGGTGTGGGAGAGGAAGGAGCTGGCAGAGAGCAGTCGGGTTGGAGGTGATGTCCTTGTGACCTGCACTCCTGCATTGGCTGGCAGTGGGAGGTGAGGACATGGTCCTTGGTGCCTCGCCGCGGCCACTGACTTTGACGAGGCAGGAAGTGCTGTGCTTGAGAACAGACTTGTCCACCCTGCCAGTCCAAGGCCTGAACTTCTAGCAACAGAGACGCCTGACTCGGGTGTGTAAGAGCTCCCTATGAGGGTGCAGGGGCCCAGGTGGGTGGCTCAGGACATTTGTGCTCATCAGGCAAGCAGGATGTGAGTTGTTGAGTGAGGAGGAGGTGTGGGAGGAGGCAGAGAGAGGAGATCAGAGCTAGAGAAGAGGAGGAGGATGGGGCTGGGCATGGGAAGGTGGGCGAGAAGGAGGACACTTTGCTTCTTCCCAGCTTTGCCACGGGCAGGCGGGCCCCTGGCTTGATCCAGGCTCTCAGGAATGAGGAGGGTATGTCCTTTGCCCCTGTCCTAGTTGGCTTCCTGCCAGGCACAAGTGGATTCCCAAGATAGATTGTTCCAGGTGGTCTTGGCTCAGGTGGGAACTGCCAGAGAGTCCCGGCACTGCCGTGACTGCCGAAGAGTATGCGTCACCTCTCAGCTTGCCTGCTTTACGTCTCACTCCTCCACCGCCTGTGAGAGCCAACAAGCCCTCTCAGCCGGAGGGCGGGGAGTCGAGCTGAGGCAGCACAGGCACGGTACATCCCTGCGTGATTGCTTTCTTCCATTTCACAGCTGCTTCTGTTTCTTCCCATGTGCATGTGTGGCTAAATTTATTGCCCTCTCTTAAGTTGATCTCTGTTCTTGATGAGGCAAAGGAACCAGAAGCGAAAGGGGTGACATTCAGTGGCTGGTTGAAGTGGTGGCTGACCAGTGAGGGTATGTGGTCTGTGTGTGTGGTTGCAGGTGACAGCCTGCAGCAGAATCCAGCCGGAAGTCACTAAAACAAGAAGAAAACTTTTCATCTCACGTGACAAGACATCTCAAGTTAGACCACTTCCAGATCGGTTAGGTCAGCTGGCTCAATGTCATCATCAAGGAGCCAGCTTTTGTGGGGTTTTTTCCCCTCAGAGGCAGGGAAACGAGGACTGCTCCCTCTGTCTCTCAGGAGGAAATGTCCCAGCAGACTTCCCCACATCTCTTTGGCCAGAACTGTCACATGTCACGTGCCTACGCCTGATCAGTGATGGGCAGTGGGGGTGGACCCTGCAGGGCTGATTTAGACAAATCGGGATTACTTCCTGGGGCTGGAGGATGTGTGGCTCCCTCTGAAGCGCACGATGGGGTCTGTTGGCAGGAGGAGCACGCCGATGCCTGTGTCCGCTAGGAGGAATCAGGATTGGCTGCTTCATGTTTAAAAGCACTCTGAGCGTTCTCCCTCCTGCCTCTCCACCATTCAAAACCACACATGCTCTTCAAGGCCCATCTCAAAAGTCACCTTCCCCCAGAAGTTTTCCATTATACCTCAAATTAGAATTGATGGCTTCTTCCTAAAGATGCCCAGAGCCTTTGTACCTCACACTTAGCGCCTTTCACAGTCTGCTTTGTAGTAACCAGTTTTCCTCAGTCTCTCCTAATTCTGAAACCCTTGGGAGGGAGGACCGCATGTGATTCCTGCCTATGTGCGCAAACCCAGGGACTGGCACATGTGTTGCCTTCTCACAGGAGTTGACCCCATAGGACAAGTTTGCTGTGAGGCCAGGGACCATTATTTCGGGTTCCTCACTGTACATCCAGCACCCAGCACAGTACCTGGTGTGTAGTAGGTGCCCAACAAATATTGCGAATAAATAATAGAATAATAATAGCTACTGATTTCTGCTTCTGGTCGAGATGGAGTAAGGGAGGACTAGGTTTACTCTTCCATTGGAAACAAACAAAAACAGACAGAATATATGAAACAACTGTTTTCAAGGCACTGGACACCAGGCAGGGAAGGACATTGGAAATAAATAAGGAGAGTCCTACGATTGCCCCCCTTTTCCACCCTGATGGCTTCCGGGCCTCCATGCAGGGCGGGGACTGAGAAGACGCCCTGAGTCGAAAAGAGAAAGGTGAGTGTCCAGAGAGACAAGTCAGACATGTTTCCTGGGAGAGAGTGCCAGAAAGTGGAGAGTTGCACAGAGGGGGAACCCCAAAGATCCACAGAGGATCCCCGTGAGCATTCAGTGGAGTCCTGATCAGAGCACCTGAGGTCGAAGAACAAACCCACTGAAAGGATTGGCAGGAACAGCAAGTGCCGGAATGGTGCCTGTCCCCACCCGCTGGACTAGGAGTACTCAGAACTCATGGGGCACTGGGGAGAGCTCGCCTCAGTGGTGGGGAGTAATTAGCCCTAGACTGAGCACTGCCCCAGAAAATGCCCAGCAAGCATGAAAGCAAGACTTGCTTCCAAGTAACTGGACTTTATCCCAGAAAAAATTTTAATGCAAAAAAATATCCAGCACCCAACGAGGTAAAACTCACAATTACTAGCATCCAATCAGACACAACGAGGCATGAAAATATGACCCAGGATGAGAAGAATCCACCAATAAAAACTGGCCCAGAACTGCGAGCCGGCCTGGTAGTCTAGTAGTTAGGGTTTGGCGTGCTCACCACCACAGCCAGGGGTCATCGTCTGGTCGTGGAACCACACCACCTGCCTGTCAGTTGTTGCACTGTGGCAGCAGCTCACTTAGAGAACTGAAACTAACAGGTAGGATACTAACCATATACTGAAGCTTTAAAAAAAACAAACTGGCCCAGAATTGACACGGATGTTAGAATGCACAGAGAAGAACATTAAGACAGATTATAATTGTTTTCAATATGTCTAAAAAGTTCACAAGAGACAAGGAAGATACAAAAAAGACATGAATGGAAAGTCTAGAGATTAAAAATATGATACCTGAGATGAAAAATATGCGGCATGGGTGTAACGAAAAACTCTACTGTTTGCATTTACTTTACACACAATATCCTCTGAAAACTACAACACTTCACTTCTGACACTCTGACTACTGAATGTGTGTGGGGCTTTCCCTACACCACCCAGCAATTTCCCCACATCATCTGCACCACTGCTTGGGTGTCCTACCATTTAACTCAATTCTGACACACCTACCTGAGATGGAGTCAGATCCCACAGGTTAAGGGCTCAGTCCCAAAAGACTGCGCCCTCCTCCCACTTCAGATGCCAATCACAAGTCTGGGTTGTCACCTGTGCTTCTGACCCACTGGCTGTAGATTGAACACCTTCCTCAGGTTCAGATTTGCTAGAGCAGTTCATAGAACTCAGGAAGATGTACTGCTTGAGGGCAGACCTCAGGGAGAGCCAAATG